AGGCCGGCCTCGACCCGCCCCTCGGGAAGCCCTGCGGGTGACGGCGCGGGGCGCAGCAGCTGCCCTCCCGAGCCGCGCCGGGCTGGCTTAGTCTGAACCTCGGCTCGGCGTGCCTCCGGCTTAAGCGGGTTGCTGGACCCGGCCCCTCCCTCACCTGATGTGTCCGCGGCTTGCGCTGCTTGCTTGAAAGAGCCGATGCCTGCATTGACACCATTCGCTCAACTTGGTTACTTCTAACCTTGGTTAGTTCCTTTGCTCCGTTGATCTTTATCCCCAAACACCGGGGCCCGCTGCTCGTTTTTCTCCCTTGAAATAAGTTGCAAACTATAAACTTTTTCTTCCGATTCTGCCCCCAAAAGCTGTGGCGCTCACCCGCAGCCTGGTGCCCTGTATGGTCCAGTGTGATGTGGGAACCCTGCACTCGTCTTAATAAGTTCTGTGACTAGGCCACCACGTGGATCTTGAATGTGATAAGTGAATGCAGGGACTGTGAGCTCAGTGTTGAAAAATGTGGCTTTGGGTTGATATGCGCACGATTCAGGTTTTAGGCCATGTGATTAAACCATGCTTTATTTGTTCAGGTGTAGTGTGTTATGTGAATACAGCCATTCCTTTTAACCAACCCGGGATTAGCAGGTCGGCGTGTTGTGTGAAAATACCCAGGAATACCACATTCGTCTTTTTCCTCAATCTCTTTATATAGTTTCTGCTGATATTCCTCACACCTCAAATCATGTTTCTTCCAGACTCCAGTTTTTGTTAAAGTTTTTTTAACGTAATTTTGCATTAAAAGTGTGCATCAGTAACTGCATTTATCTCTGAGTTGGTGGGGTGCAAGCAACAGAATGTTGGCTTGCAAGACAATCTCTAGATTAGAGATTGCAGTTTGCATAGAATAGTATGAGTAGGCTTGGGGTGAAATTGGACTTTATTATGCTTGTGACATCCTGGTCAAAATGTGGCAGACCTGGCCTGTTCTGTCTTTACTATTAATAGTGGCATGTGGTACAGGTGTGATTAAGCTGATCACCTAGTCCGCACCTTTTCTATATTAATCAAAAGCATTATGTGAAAGCTTTGATTAACCAAAGTCAGGAGATGAATATCTGTGGGCCCATATGGTTCTAACTGTGCCAGATAGAAAATTGTGACTTGAAATGCAAGAGGAATAAATGGTAAAGAGCATGAAATAATGAAATGGAAGAAAGAAAAATAGGTATGGTGTGTGTCTCTGAGACTAAAAGAGGCTAAATATAATCTGAGTGAAGGTGATTTAATCTTGTGTGGAGTTGATGAATACATATAGTGAAGTAGTGTAGATGTAATTACGAATGAAAGTGCTGGTAAAAAAAGATGACTTGGTGTCACTTGTTATGGATGCGTATGAATGTAGGAGCAGAGATGAGTTTGGGGAAAACTGTACAACATTCTGAATCAATGTGATCCAGGGAAAATTATTTTATTAAGTAAAGTGAATGGGTGGGCGGGAACAAATGAATAGGTGGGTAGGCTGGCTGTTTAATACATTTATGGATAAATGTATAAGAGATGATGATCTGACATTGTGCTGATTGGAATATGAACATATGTGTTCTTTGGTACGCAGACAATGCTGCGTTGTTGGCTGAGAACCCAGGTGATTTGCAGCAAATGTTAGATCATAAGATAGAACAAGAAGTATGCAACTGAAAATTAATGTAACAAAGAGCAAGGTAGTTATGTTTGAAGGGAAACATGGAGTGAACAATTGCAAGTTCTACATAAATGGTGAAAAGCTAGAAGTAGTAAATTAATTTCGGTACCTTAGTTCAATGCTTACTAAAGAGAGAGACAAACGGACAGAGGAATTTTAAAAGATGCAAAAGCTGAGAGAAAGCTAGTGGATAGTACTGTACATTAAGAGGATTTAATGTTTGTTGAAAGATGCAAAGATATCATTGTATGCCTCTGCTGACTTTCTTACCTGGAGATGAGAGTTGATGTATGTCAGGAGAAATATAAACAGAATTTGAGTGCAAGGAGGGCACTTAGAAGTTCTTGCAGTAAAACAAGGAGTCAGGAATTAATGGGTATTGAATGTATGCGCATTGAATAAAAATGAGCGACCAATGGCTTGGCCGTATACTGTAGAGAGAATAAGGATTGAATTGTGAAACAGAAATATGAAGGGGTGTGTGTGAGTGAATGTACTGCAGGAGAAAGTTCAGAAAGGCATGTTCAGTTGGAGTTGATGAAATCCTCAGAAGGAGAGAGGGGAGGTGTTCAAAGCTGAAAAGGAAACGTATGACGAGGGGGGTGGCTGTGATGGAAGCAGCCATGGTTCGTAAGGCCAGAACAGTACGGAGCAGTGCAGTAGATGCTGCTGATTTAAACTTGATCCTGTTTCCTTTATCTCAAGCTTTCAATTCCTTTGCTTACTACTATATACAGTTTTTCTGTGCGTTGCACAATGTTACTTACCCCAGGAGGGAATTGTGTGATGGGTATGTATTTGATTAAAGTTTTATGTGTCAGCTGTCTGAACTGGCAGCTGCTTCTTGATAATTTGCCAATTTAGTTGTTAAAAGTAAAGTTTGCCTTGAGTCAGACTCAAATCCTGATGACCTCATGTAGTTTTCTTGGCAATAGTACAGAAGTGGTCTGCCACTATGATTTTTTTTCTCTCAATTAAGGACTAACCTGAGCCCAGACAAAGTCAGATGTTCCCATCTGCATTGTGTTTGTAAGTGATCTAATCAACAGAAATTAAACAAGTAATTCTCTGTGTATCTCCAAGTTAGGGAAAGCTTTGCCTGCTAAATCGCTGCCTGCTCTTGAAGTGGAGTTAGGCTTTGGTAGAAAGGGGCATAGGATTGAGCGTTGTGTGGCTGGCTGTGTACCTTTTGTTCCAGCTTTCCTAATCTGGTTTCCTCCAGAATGAACCATAGAAAGTTGGAGTTAATTATCTGGAAGGCTCAAGGTTGGAGAAAGTTGCTTTATCCTGCCTACTGTTGATAAATAAAAGCTAGCACTTTGCTTGCTAAAGCCCTCAGATTCTGCTCAATCTCAGAGAGTGATAAGCAGTGAGGTACATTTTTCAGGCATTTGAGTTATTTTTTCTTTCCTCTGTTGCAATTGTCCTAGTTTGCTCAGGAAAAGATGTTGCTTCCCCTTCTTAAATGGGTCTTGCCTCCTATCCTCTGAGGATTTAAAAAAAAAAGTCCCTTAACTGAAGAATCTGGATTTGAGCATCATCTGGTCCAGGGTTTTGGTGGCAAGGCCTGTATCCAATTTTGCTGGCCTTTTGTAATCCGGGAGGGAGTAGGGGCTGTCCAGGCTGCAGTCGCAGGGGGAGGAGAGCTGCAGTTGCCCGCTCTTGCTTCACTGCAGCAGCATCCCAGCGGGCTGGGAGTCTGGGCACCTCTCTGCCGGTGATGTACGACATGGAATGGCCCCAGATCAGGTTTCATGGTTTTCTGCAGCCTTGGCAGCTGCTATGTGCAAACAGTGCCAGAGGAAGAATTGTTGTCTGGCTGTGTTGCAAAGCAGATGAACTGCCATGCAGGTTGCCGCGTAAGAGTGGGACGCTTGGTTTTGACGGCAGCTGAGTTCGGGGTTTCCGATGGAGCCCACCCTGGCACCTGGCCCTGAAAGAGAGGCCGCTAGGAGAGCGTTTTATCCAAGGCAGCTCCTCACCTTTGCTACGGGATGGGCCACTTGTTCTGCTCTAGATGCTCAGTGCTGCAAAGGGGGCTGCAGGCGCAAGAGCTGTAGAAAAGGTGGGGTTTATTGCATGTTGGTGGATGTGTTTAGAATCGCTTTTTTATCTGAAGTTTGGGGATGCCAGGCTTGGCGTTGGAAGATAAGCTGTGTTCTTTGAAATAGTGGTCTATTAAACTTTAATTCATGAAAGAGATGATGGTGTCTTGGATGTAAAGTGTGAGACAGAGTAAAGATAAAATGAGTTGTCTCTTCCAGCATTTTGTTTTACAAACTTCCATATCCTTTACAGATGAATTCTATTAAATGTGTTTATTTCTTCTTTTTATTAGAAAAAATGTTGCCTTCCTTCTTGTCTTGGCTTTTTTGCTGTTAGTTTCTTAATTTTTGTTGTCAACTAAATTTTAGTTCAGGCATCTCCAGGCTGCAGGATCCATACCTGTTAAACCCGTGGCTACACCTGCTGGATAGCATTAGTGTTACAGGCTAGCACATCTGGAAGGGCCAAGGTTAGAGGGGTTCTGGAATGGCATCTGTTTTTCCCCATACGCTCAGTGCAGGATGATGATTGTAAAACCTCTGTCTCAGGCTGGTGTGGCAGGACTTTTCTCAGTCGCTTTGTTCTCTTCAATTTCAGGAGTGAATTGTTTGGCCTATGATGAAGCCATAATGGCCCAACAGGACCGCATTCAGCAGGAGGTGAGCACTTCGGCACATGGGCATGGCCTGCTTGGATTGTTCTACTTTGTCTTCTGTTTCATGGTTCTGGCATGGACCCACCCAAATTGTACATATTTGTGGACACTCTCAAGCTAAAGTTAATAGATTCCTCTGCATTGTATTCCTAGAATCGCTCCAGGATCCTCTGTAATTTCCTATGAATATCCCCCCACCCCCAAATCTGCAGAATGCCCAAGGGAAAGGGCTGTGTATATGGTGTGTTTCCCAATCTTGATGACTGGCAGCGAAATTGGATGACCTCTCCTTGCAATGAGCATGCTAAGCTGTGTCTGAGGCATTTAGATGGAATTGCTTATCAGAGACGGAGAGACTGGATTCATTTCAGTTGCTACACTAGGTAGTGGTGTTGATCCAGAGAGAGGGAAAGTACAAACTCAAGCTGAGCAGTGTTATGATTACGAAAATCTAAAATGCCGCATAATTGCGTCCAAGCTTACAGTGTCTCTGGAATTCAGCCGTCTGGGTGATACAGAAAGGAGGAGTGGGAGGAAGAGGGGAAAAGTCCTAAGGGCAGAGGGTGGGCTGAGCTGGGTCAGGGCTCCCTTTTCCGGCGTTCTCTACCCACAGGGACCAGCCCGGTTCCTGTCCGAAACCTCCAGAAAGGGGAGGACTTCCCCAGCTGCCTTCTCCAGCAACTGCATTTGGAAAACAGAGGCTGCCTTTCTCCTCTCCTTCTGGAGGAAATACGTAGCCACAACGATGCTCCCTTATTCTCTGGTGGTCTGTCCCCTTTTTCAAGCCATCCCACTTGGCAGCCACAGCTTCATTTTTAAATTTCTCATATTGAGAGAGAAAGAGTATTCATTTTTCAAGAAGAAAAAGGGTAATGCTAACAAATTCCAGTGCAAAAAAACCGGACTCCCTTTCGTTGTCCTAGGGCCCTGCCTAATTTTTTATACCGCTCGCCTCTGCCCCCTCAGTCATTTTGATTACCAAGCATTAGATGAGATGCGGTGGCTGCGAGACCTGCATTTAGATTCAGTTTCAAGATGGAAATTGCAAAAAAAAGTTACATGGGATGAAGAAACAGGCTGACACCACAGAGACAACCAGTTAAGGCCTTTGTGCTGTTTGTACAAGTTTTTGGTTTGGCAAAGAAAGAAGGGCTGCTGTATCTACAACACGGGAGATGATTTTGGATAATTGACTCAGCTAAAGTTAGCTAGATCATGATCTTACATCATGGATTTAAATAAGGTTTCCAGTTTTTGAAGCCTTATATTTTTGGAATTAGTTGCAATAACCACCATATTTATTTGTGAGACTGTGAGCCAATGTATGATGTTCCAGTGGGATCACCTCTGCCATGCCTTCTGCACTGCGGAGCAAATGTGAAATTGAGAATTGTTCTCTGCTGCTTGCCGTACCAATCTAAGGGGACAAAGCAAATCTCTAGACGCCACTCTTGCAGAAAAGAAGTGTCTGTTGTTGTTTGCTTAGTCTGACCACGTGTAATCTGAACCCTAATTTTTTGTCGTTCTGTAAGTCTGTACAAGCATATAAAATGATTCCTTGTGTCCGCTAAATCTGCAGCATCTGAAACCTGGTGACAACTTAATATATTTAACCCCAAAGTTCCACATTTTTGTCCCCAGTTTGCCTGGGGGATGAATAGTGTTTGTAGAACTGCAATGATTTTCTGAAAGACTTGCTTTTGTACCCCTGGAAATCCTTTGGTGGGTTTTGCACCCAGTGAGCCTTTTTCAGGTACTTCTCATTCTTGCTTCAGGCAATCAGTCTTAGATTATTGATAGCTTTGGGGCAATTGTGTTCTGTTCAGTTTCACCTCCCCAGTCAGCATCTGGTCTGATCAAGGATACGGATGCTGGCTGTGGACACTTGGATGGGTCCTGACATAGTTCTGGTCCTCCTTGCGACTCGAACGGATGCATTAAATCTGGACGTTGTTTTAAATTACTTTAGTTGCAGATGTGGTGAATCTTGACATTTGTGGGATTGAAGATAGTCAAGCTTAAATTAAGTCTCCCTTGTGCAGATCTAGCTGCAGCCGATCACTGTTTAACAGATATTTGTTCTATTTTTTTTTTTTAAAGGAGCCATTGTTATGAAATAGCCTCAACTTCCTGGTCTCTGAATCTCACATGCCAGGCTGTTTCTTTGTAGATTGCTGTCCAGAACCCCTTAGTCTCAGAAAGGATGGAGTTGACAGTCCTGTACAAGGAATACGCTGACGATGACCACATATATCAGCAGAAGATCAAGGTGAGAGTCACCTGGATCCAACTCTATGCGTGTATGATAAAGTAATCAGAGCATCCCCATGGGAGGAAAATCTCAGTTTTGGTGGCTATTTAGAGGAGGAGAGGGAGGAGATGAATAAAAGGGTAGATCAGAGAAGAGGCCTGTAAAATGAGGTCTGGTGTGGAAAAAGAAGATGGAAAGTTTTGCTTTTGGGGGGAAAAAAAAGCAGGATTTGATCTTGCCCAGTCAGCTGAAGCGGGAATAGTTGATTAGGGCCAGATAAAGTTCTTTGCTCAAGTGAATATATGGAATTTCTTCTACTGTGGTGTAGCACTGGATGTTAATGGCACTGAAAGGTGAGGGAAAATTAATATGTGGAGGATGAGAAAAATAGTTGCATTAGCCAGGAAGGCATACTGGCCTCTTCAGGTTTCAGGGGGGCACTGCATCTGCCCCCCAGTCCATCAGTCTGCAGACATCTAGGGAAGATTACGGGGCCAAGCAGCAGCAGGCCTCTTGCTAATAGGGGCAGGGGACAAATCTGCCAAGGTCCCAGCATCCCCCTTCCACAGTTTGAAGGGGCCACAACTTTACAAGGCTGGTCCCTTCCACGACTTGGGGGATAGCACATAAGAAAGAGACATGAGCTTGGAGGCACATGTTGATTGGGAACTGAATGGTTTGAAGGCTGTTTAAGGCTCTCCTTTTTAAATTACATGGTGGTGGGGCAGCTCTGGGAAGTCTGGATCGGCTGGAAGAACAAAGCAACAGTTGTGTCCATAAAGCATCCCCTCCCCCAAAATAGGGAGTATACAGATGGATGGTATGAGCTGAAACATATTGTATTTCCTTAAAAGGAGGATGATCCTGGAATTAAGACAACCCTGACCCTCCAAGGGGAACACCAGATAGGAAGAAAAAATCCCTTTGCATTCATTACTGTGTTCTTGGCAATTTAAACTCAACCCTTCCACTTTAAAGGTGAATTATTGGGGGCACAAGCCTCCTCTTCCTTTCTGATAAATACAGGAATTGGTTTTGACTAAGGCAGGTTTTATCGGGCAGACCTAAGGAGGCTTAGCTAGGCTTTAGGGGCTGTGAGCTCCCAGACCAGAGCATGGGTGCCAAGCTCCCTCCCTGCTCTTTTCCCGGCACAGGATCTGCTGAAGAAGTATTCATACATTCGGAAAACAAGACCAGATGGGAACTGCTTCTACCGAGCATTTGGCTTTTCCCACCTGGAGGCTCTCCTGGAGGATGGCAAGGAGCTGCAGCGGTAGGCAGGGATGTCCGGGGGCGGGGAAGAGGGGAAGGTGAATCACAGCGCCCCAATGGCCGGGAGAGGTTGGGATGTCGGCAAAAGGCAGAAATTCAGGCTTGTTTCATTTCATTTTAGCTTCAAAGAAGTGGCAGCGAAAAGCAAGGACGTGCTGGTGGCCCAGGGCTTCACGGAATTCACCATTGAGGACTTCCATAATACGGTATGGCCTGGTCCCGCGCCCTGGCGTTTGAAGGCCACCACCAGCCAGGCTGGCTGGGGATAATGGGAGTTGTGGTCTAGCCCATTCAGAGGACGGGGAAAAACGGCTGAAGTGGGTTGGGGGCAAAAATCCCAGGAGGTGGTATTGGGATAGAAGAGTTCAGGAATCAATATACTCAGCTGAGGAATGTCAGTGACTAAAGTATTATTGTAGTTGGGGCTCTGTTTTTGCCAAAAGCAGACTATTTTCAAAGAAAACCAAGTAAAAAGAACAGTGGAGAAGTGAAAGGGTTGTAATGGGGTACGAAACTGGAAGAGGGGGATGGACAGATGAGAGGCAGGCGTCCTCTTGCAGGGAAGGAGAAATTCACGTGGTTCCTGCGTTGGACACCCCAATTTTTTTTTTAATCCCTGCAGTTCATGGACCTGATTGAGCAAGTGGAGAAACAGACCACAGTTGCAGAGCTGTTGGCCTCCTTCAACGACCAGAGCACCTCAGATTATCTCGTCGTGTACCTACGGCTGCTGACGTCCGGCTACTTGCAACGGGAGAACAAGTTTTTTGAGCACTTCATCGAGGGAGGACGGAGCATAAAAGAGTTTTGCCAGCAGGTCAGGGCAGGGGACTCAAAGGGGAAATGCATAATTTGGGCTGGAGGGGTGCGGGAAGGTGGAGCTGAGGCCAGCCCCTTAGGGCCCAGTTTGGAGACACTGCCCTTGCCCAACCCTATTTAGAAGTCTCTCTCATCACAGCTTCACTGTCCCAGAGTTTCCAGTCCTCACGATAGAGAGGAAGGAAGAGTCATGTTTGCTCATAGACTCTGAGCAGCCTTGGAGGGATTAAAGTCCCCTGTGTGCACCCTGGCTTCCTCCTGCAGTTAGTCCCTTGCTTCCTGAACGCCTGTGGTCCTTTGCGGCCTGCCCTCTACTATTAGGGCAGACCATTTTAGAGGACTTCAAACCATGTCCTTGAAACTGAAACACTAGCCATTGTTTGGCCTCGTTAAGGATATTGCCCTGCATCGAAATTGATGGTTATTGGCAATAGATTGGCCAGAATTTCGGAGTCACTGTTGCAATGACACCATTTAGTGACCATTCATGGAAGGGGGGGTTGGGCCCAGCAACAGCTTTCCCCTCGCCCTTTGAGGAAGGACTGCAACCACATGGAGTGGTGGGGAGAGCGGTCCGTGTGCAGGGAGGGCCATGACTGGGCCTTGTAGCCTGTTTAGGCCAGCAGCCAAAGACTCCCAAACTTTTGGGCTTCAGCTTCCATCAGCTCCCAAACTCAAGGCCAACGGGAACGGATTGCGCAAATTACCCGGAGCCCCTGGGGAGGGGGGGCACCGAGTTGTTGATCCATGGATGGGCCCAAGGAGAGGACTCTGCAGCTCTTCCTGCACTTTGTTCTGAGACAGGCAAAAGCAGGGCCATACGCAGCTGGGGGGTAAGTGGGGAGCTGTTATCCGAGGCCACCCTTGGCAACTGGAGGCCTCCTCAGGTGCAGCCTTGAAAAGCAGGCTCGTGTTGCTAGTGCCCCTGAGGGCAGGGCAGCTTGGTTCCAGGGCCTGGGTGGGCGGCCTGCTGCCAGCCGAGGGGCGGGTGGGGTGTGCCGGCTGCCCCCGCCTGGTGGCTCAAACGGCTCTGCCCCCTCTCTCTTCCAGGAGGTGGAGCCCATGTGTAAGGAAAGCGACCACATTCACATCATTGCCCTGGCTCAGGCCCTCAACGTGTCCATCCTGGTGGAGTACATGGATCGGGGCGAGGGCGGGACCACCAACCCCCATATCTTCCCCGAAGGCTCGGAGCCCAAAGTGTATCTACTATACAGACCGGGACACTACGACATCCTGTACAAATAGAGGGGCAGGAGCGAGGCTGGTGAGCCAGCCCCCCCTCCTCTCCCTCCCCCGCTGCCCCCCTGGCGTTCCCTGTCTCGCCCGTGTTTTTCCCACCACCAACCGGGCAGCGTCGTCTGTGCTTGTAAATGGTGATCGTTCTTGCTCCCCATCTCGCTCACTTGGTTTGTTTATTATTATATATTTTTCCCTCCTTTTGTTGTTACACTCACACTCTTCTGTGTTTTATTAAAGGGGATGCCGGTGAAACAATCTCCTTTTCTTGTAGCTTCTCTCTAGTGCTTATGGGGTGGAAGCCCCCCCCCCGTGCGGATGATGGAGCTGTTGAGCAGAGTATAGCAGGATCAGGAGCTCCCTTGGCACTAACCTAAAGAGCATACAAGCAACCAGCCCCCTTTTGAAAAATGCATTCTCAGACAGTTGCATGCAGCAAGATCCTAGTCCTCAAGGTTGCAAGGAAATGCCGTTTTTTTTGGAAATGGGGGGGCAGTATCTGGTGAACTCCAGATGGGGCTTCCAGCTTGCACGAGACCAGCCAGTTAATGCCTTTTGTAGAGGTCAGTCATCCCTCTTCTTTGCTCTCCAATTCCTCAGCCGTTTGTTCTGGGATGTGTCATGGAATAGAGCCTCTAGATTCAAATTCCTTCTATATCAAATATGCTGCTTTTTCCCTCTTAAATTAAGCCTGTCATCTACGGAGAGGGCTGGACAGGTGAGGATTTTCCTGTGAGGGGAAGTGGAAGTCTGATCGAAGTTGTGATCTGGAACAGTTGTACCCTAGCCGAGGGCTTAGCTGGGAGGTTGTGGCCGCCAAGGCAGCTTTTGGCGATGCGAGAAGCCACCGGCTGCGTGAGAGAGGCAGCAGCTGGCTGGTCAGGACCCCAAGGCAGAAGGCTCCACTTTGTGACGTTTCCCCGCTGGCTCTACCAGAAGCCTGTCCCGAGGATGCTCGCGTGCACCGCTCAGGGGTAGAGTGTGCAGATTTGAACAGGCAAGGCGTGCTTGCGCGGGGTGCAGAAAAACCACAGGATGGGTGGTTCCTTGTGCTGTCCTGCGTCTAGGGTGCTGGAGGGCTGGGCAGGTTCCTTGGAAAGGCGCTGCGTTGGAAAAAGGTTAGCTCTGCTGGAGCTGCCTTTCGGGGTTTCTTTCAAGATCCTGCTTTGTCTAACGCATCTACTGGGCAGTGCTCCATAAAACTCCTAGCCTTTCTTACCTCACCCCTTCATCCATATTCTGTCCCTCCTTTTTTCCCCTGCTGCTGCTGCTGCTGCTGCTGCTGCTGTCTCGGGGGTGGCGGGGACAGGCTCTTCTTGTACGTTATAAGAAATTGCTGTTTGGGTTCTCCAGAAGTGGGGATGGGGGGCCTGATTAAAGCAGCCAAGCTCAGAGGCAGCCGGGGTGGGGGGAGGCGCTTCACGTCTTCCCCGCTCTTGAACCATCGCCCGGACAGACACCTGCAGCTGTTCTTGCATCATTTCCCCGGGGCCATCCCTTGGCCACTGGCCAACGGCATCTGGAGCCCAGCGAGTAGCAATTTTGCTGTGGTGCCCAGTGAGCAGAAAAGTCTCGGCTTCAGATCTTTTGTTCTAATTCTCTTGGGGAACAGAGAACAATGCCTTTCCTTTCCTGTTTTTAACTACTTTGTCTTTAGCTGAAAATGACTAGGAATGGCCATTTTCTGCCAAAGGAGGGTTTTTACTTTTAAGTGTAAACTCTCTGTAGCTTAAATATAGTCAGGAAACGGGGAGGTGCCCCCTTCTATTATCTGCAAGCTGTGGGTCAAATAGCTAGGCGGATTCAATTCAGCGTGTGTGTGTTTTACACAAAATTCAAGTCCTGCTTTGGCCCACTCCCCTCCCATTCACCCGACTTTACAAGCTGCACAACTGGATTATGTTCGCATTTTTATTCCGGAATGCGGCTGACTGTGCCTGGGGAAGGGTGGATGTTTCTTCCAGCTGTCCCCCTTTGAAATGATCTGACGTCTCCTGCTGCAGAGGAGCGGGAGGATTCGCACGAAGCACCCTCAGAGTCCTGAGGACGGGCGTTCCCCGCAGGAATCTGCTGGGAAGAAGGAGGGAGAGATCAGCCTGTGCTGCAGCAGTTGCCTTCTGCCCTCCACCAGAGCATCGCCTCATTTGAGCCCGTGTTGCCAAAGGATGCGCTGGGCCTGCGCTGCACCTTCTGGGGGAAGAGGGCAAGATGAGAAACGGGGTGCGAAGGGAACGCCCCCTTTCTTCAGCGATGGAGAAAAGCAAGCTGGGAACTTAACACCCACATCAGACTCTACCCGTAAGTGTTTGGATAGGGCAGAGGAATACCGCCAACCTTTGTTCGTTCTTGGCATTCCTCTCTTGAATTTCTGCTTTTCTGCCTTTGCTGAGATGATTTTAGGCCTGTTATTTTGTTTCCCCAAAACCTGGGACTTTGGAGCCCATTCTGAGCCATATTCTGGCTCATTCTTGTTCTTTGCCCCTCCCTGTCACTCGCTCGTGGGGCCACGCTTTGAACCGTTCCTGCTGGGGACTGAACCCTTCTGACTCTCCACTGGCCAAGGAAGACAAACTGGACAGCCTGGCCTTGTGAAAGCGACTTGGGAAAAGTGACTTGTAATCTGCTGTGGAGGGGCAAGGGGAGGGTCCGACCCAGAAAGGCTAAAATACTGCATGCCTTTCGTGAAGTAGAGATGTCAGAGTGCAGGCCAAAAGGTGCTGGGAGAATTACTCTGCTTCCGCAGAATCTCTCTGTAACTGGTTGGGCGTTAAAGGAGAAAAGAAGTGCAGGTCTGTTTGCAGGTCTCTTGCATCTCCCAAACCTTGGCCCGGAGGAAACAGGAGTTTAGTGAGTGAAAAACAAGCTAGGAAGTTGTTATGGCCAAATTACAGCATGCGGGCTTCCCTGCGTTTTCCATGCTGCGCTGCGCATGATGCTGGGAAATGCTTACCCCTTCAGAGCATGGAAAGCGTGGGGTCAGGCTGGAAACGAGAGGAGGAAGAGATGAGGGTTCCCGGAAAGCCGCTGCCCTTTCAGCCTCTCAGCCCCGTGGAAATCCACCACCCCTTCTGACCCCCGGATGGAGGGCCCAGCCAGTGACTCACCGATGGGAAAGAACTGGGGCAGCTTCTCCTTGTAGATTTCATCGTCCTTCTCCAGGTAGACGCAGACGATAAGTCGCTCGACCTGCCCGAGGTACAACCGCTATTAGCAGGAGGCGGCGGCGGGGGGGGTGAGGGTGCCAGCTGTGAATTTTGCGGGGCTCCTTTTACACACGGCTTGCAACTGGCACGATCCAGGGTTAAGGATCCTGTCCCAATTCCCATATGGGAGGATTTGTAGCTTTTCTTCCGATGTCAGGGTTTGTCCTGTTTGTCGTTTGCCACTTCCGGCAAGCCCTTTCTTCATTTCTCAAGAGCTGATTCTGTACACCGCTCCCCTAGTTACCATCCTTGAGTGATTGCTAGTATTTTATTTAAAGCACCACCCCAAAGTCTATAGTAGAGCTTTCCATGGGTTTAGTAATCTAATGTTAAAGATTTTTTTCCAAACTTGCCTGTGTAGATTATATCCTATGGCAATGTTTCTCAACCTTGGCCACTCAACAAGGTTGAGAAACACTTGTATGCCAGGCCCTGGTCCTCAGGTGGGAATACCAGCTGTGGCTGAGAAGCTAATATCGTTGTGCGCAAGGAGCGATGCTTGGTGAGAAAGGAGGCACCAGTGAGCAGCCAAACTTCCGGCCTTACCTTGTCCTTGTTGTCTTCTAGCCACTTGTGCAGTGTGTTAAGGACAACCTCCGCAGCAGCGTCATTTGGGTAGCCTATGGAAAACAGGAGAACCTTGGAAACTGCAGAATATCTGGGGAGTAATTCTGTCCGCCTCTCTCTTTCTTGTCTTGTTACTTACCGAACACACCAGTGGAAATGCAAGGAAAGGCCTGTGGGCACAGACAAACGAAGAGTGTTAAGGACAGCTTGGTGGCTTAATTTGGATACAAAGTGGTCCCAGGCTTGGCTAAAAGGGAAGACTTCCCTCTTCCATGCAGAGATGAAAAGGGTAAAAGCGCCATTTATTTTTTTTGCATCTCAGCATTCAACTTCCAAAGGGGTGCTGTAGGTGAAGTGGCCTCATGCAGGAGGGACAGGGAATGAATGGATATGTACCCAGAAGCATGTTCTGTGGCCACCCAGGTGAGGGTGGAGAACCCAAAAGAAGAAGAAGAAAAAAAACAGGGTCCCAGCTGGCTGTGGAAAGTTCATTTGGAGGCTTAGTGCCCTAAGAATCTGCTTAAATGCTCCTAATGTAATCCATCGTGCTTGGCTGGAGGTTAGCCAGCGAGTCCTGCCTGTAGAACCGCACTCCACAACTTCATGAAGCCAGCGAGCATAGAGATTTTTGCCTAGAGAAGACCCCATTCTCTGCTCTCCCGGTGAACTTTTTCTGGGGGAGGGGGGAGAGACTGAGCAAGGGAGATAGATGGAAGCTGCTCTTGTAGCCTTAGAAGACGGGGAGGGGGACCTGCGGCATGGTGAGGAAAGCTTCATCACGCACATGCTCCGTAGATACAACCCACAACTCTGCTCTTTGCACAGAGTACTGTCTGTCTTCCATCAGTGCATGCTTTTGCATCAGAAATGCGCCCCCATCCACCCACCCACCCACCCACCCCACCCTGATAGCTCGTCTCTGCTAGAGGGGAGACTGAAAGTCCGGGAAAGCTCGCAAGTGGGGCACACTTTCGGCCCTCTTCCTGTTTTTGGCTTCCCCGGTGCTGCGTTGGAACATGCAGATCAACTCTCGGCTTCCATGGCTGATTGCATGAATTTGCTTAATTGCAGGTCTTGGTGAGAATGACAGGTGTGTAATAGAATTACTGGGCAGAGAATCGTGCCACTGAAGTAGGAAATCCTCCAAGTCAGAATCGTAGTGATGTTAAATTAGTCTCAGTAAAACTGAAGCTCTTCTGTCCTTCCTTGTGATCTCCCCCAAACCCCCTGGTTTTGGGTGGTGTTTTAGAAGGGCCTTTCCCCCACCCCTCTACAGATGCGTTGGACTACAATATCCAAAGCTGGCTGGGGATAATAGGTCATAGGCTAGTGTATCTGAAGGGGACAGCTTGGGCAAAGCATGCCTCAGAGCAGGGGATTCCCAATTCTTTGCCACTGGGGCTAAAACCTGCTGGCTTTTCTCTCATCCGTGATCTGCCAAATCAACTGACGTTAAGCTGCTTATCTGAAAAGTCTCGGAAGCATCCTTGGACTGCATGCTGGGACCGATATTCCAGGCCCTTTAACTGAGGGGAACCCCTGTTCCGGCCGTCAGCCCGTGGCCCTTTCCTGCCCACGCAGCAGTAGAGCCCATTGCACCAAAGAGGCTGGTGTTTTCCTGCTCCTTAAGCCACCCCAGTTAAAAGCCTCTTTGTGTGGGCTTTTTATTCACAATGAAGATGCTCCTCGACTGCAGACTGATGCTTTGGCAAAATCTCTCTGGATCGTAATCTGATTCCATTTGGAGGGAAGCAGGGCCTCCCAAGCTTTCCTCCCAGGTGGGTGATCCAGCTGTGCCAGAGGATTTAGCAGGCCAGTCTTGCGCCTGGGAAGAGCAGACGGCTCAAGACAGCAGCTGGAAGCAGGTCTGATGGTGGTTCCTCCTCCTCCTCCTCCTCCTCCTCCCCTGCCGAAGTGCCAGACTCTGGAGGGCTTCTTCCAGAAACAGCTGGGGGAGCTGAAAGCTAATCTTTTTTTACTTGTGTATTTTTCCCTCTCTGCCCCTCCAACTGACTTCAAGGTAGATAGCCAGGTTAGAAAAAACCAGTGTGCCCTTGGACTGTTTTTAATCTAATTCATCCATTTCTGAGCATTGCTAAGTAGCGTATCTTGGCAGCCTCATGACCTCTGTGTGCTGTGGACTCCAGCTCCCATCCTCTCCAGCTTGAGGGACGAATGGCCTGAGGTTTGGGGTACTGCAACTGAAAAGAGATGGAGGCCACAAGGCGATCCCCCTGGGTTTCCAGCCCCTGCTGTGTCTACTCACCACTGTTTGCAGTTTGTTCTCCAGGGCGAGTTTCAAGCTGTTCTTGTAGCAGTTGCTAAGTTCGGTCTGCTGTGAGGCACTGGGCTCCCCCTGGGCAATCGGCCCCACTGTGTGAATAACAACTGGAAGGCAAAAGAGGGGCGTTGCTGGAAGTGCACCTAAGCCCCCTCCCCAACTTCCTCGGGGGTCTGGGTGCGAGAGGCTTACGGTGGCAAGATCCGTGATTCTCTCCACCTCCTGGAGCAGAACCAGGCTTACTTTGTGATATACTCGAAGTGCTTTTATAAATTAGTAAATGAGAGCTTTAAAATATTTGCTTGATATCCTATGGGTATGGGGTGGGTGTGCCCCCTCCCATAATTCCCAAGCATTTAGCCTGCTTTAATATAGCAATATTGGAAACATCCCACTTTGCTTTTATTAAGCGTGCGCTTAGCAATCCACTTATCAGAGTAGCAATATATATATTTTAATGTCCCTTTTTGTTAAAATGAAGTTACACACTTGAGCAAATATATCCTTGAAATGATTTTCGTTCCCTGTTGGCTCTTTTGGCACTGTGAAATAGAAACCTAACGAGAAACCAATCATTACTGCCTTGGCCCGTCTCCTGCCCTGCTGCCTCTTTCCCGTTTTTGCTCTTCGAACAACTTTTGGAAACACTCTGATTCAGAGCTGCAGTCCCTTATCTACTTAGCTGACCCCCAAGGGCCAGAAAGCCAAAAGAATGTGCTTTGGGTTAAATAGATGTTTTAAAAAAAAAAAAAAAGCAAGCAAAGCTGTCACACAAGCTGTCGTAGATGGTTTGAAACCTCGCCTGGCCGCTGCTGGGTGTTTGGGGATCGGTCGTGCGCGCATCATGCTAAGCGCGCTGTGTGTGGGAAGGCATTACCTCTCTTCCCCTTTCAGGGGTCTAATTCTCAGCGCCTGCAGGGAGCGGCTGTAATTCAAGGGAGCGTGTGCAAATATGGAAGGACTCGTGCCCTGGTGTATTGGTGCGTGCGCCTCCTGCAGGGATCAAGGGGGTGAAGGGGGCTTTGCGGCTGATGCCTGGCTGGAAGTTGCTGACGGTGCTCCAGTGCAAAGGTGCCGACCCTCAGGAAGCCGAGCTGGGGTCGCCAGGGGGTGCTGTTAAGCCAGCAATCCTTTTCTGCTGGCGCTTCCTGGGTTTGCGCACACGGGCTGGCTGCCTGTGGCGGGACTTCATCAAGCCGCCTTTGCCTCGCCACGGGCACAGGGCTGACACGGTCAAAAGGGGCCCTCCAAGCCTGTGCCAGTCCTGACCGGGCAACCGGCCAGGGTTGGCCTCGCCAGGTGTCTGTTGGGGTCCCCCTTTTTGCACGCCGGCCTGGTTGCCCATCTGCTCCTGAGCCAGGGGTGGCATGAAGGGGGGAACCCTCGGCTGGGTTGTCCTGCCAGCAGCAGCAGAGGCTGGGAAGAAGGGGCAGCCACAGCTAACGGCAGCGCAGGGATCCTGGCTGAGCATGCCCAGAGACTCCCTGTCCCGCCTGGAGCTCTGCAGGCGCCTCCAATTTAGCCTCGGTTTGGACAGACGCTTCCTGAGACTCGCCGTTGCCCTTTTTCCCCTTCAAACCCGCCACGGATGGATCTGCAGCTGCCGTCGGTGCCCACGGCCCAGGCTCAGCGGCATTTGCCCTCCTCGGAAGGACTGCGGAAACGCAGCTGTAGATACGGCCTTCCCCCCAAAGGGAGACCGTCACTGAACCCCCCAGGGGGCAGCTGGAGCCCAACCTCATTCCTGCTCCATTTCAGACACCGAGCCCAGAGCAGTCAGTGGGGATGTGAAGCCCCGGATCTCATGCCTGACGGTGCTGTGGGGTCCCAGGCAGGGGGCTGGAGAGGGCGGCGTAGCCCTTCACTCATCCCCCGTGGCTGCCCGGGGTAGTCCAAGCTGGTGACCTGGTCAGTCCCATCACAGATCTGGGCTGCCAAAGTGCTCTTTCGTGAAGAAAGATCTGCTTATTGTTAAGACTGTAGCGTTACCCTCTTTCCCTTTGTTTGATCTAATAAGTGTGTATATATATCACATATGCACATGTAGTATTAAGTTGCACTCACAGCTATTGTAAGGCCAGACTCTGAGAGCAGAGTTTAAACCTGAGTGGAGACTATGAAATCCAAAAGGGAGGCTTTTATTCCAGCATAATTAATCCAGGTTCACCCCCCCCCCAGGACAATTCTCCCATCTCTCTCCAAACAAATCCACCAATTGTGGGTTGTCGCAACTGTGTGTGTGACTTGCTGACCCCCAGGGAGAGCTCAGTGACCCCAGGCTGGCTTGGGCCCATCCACCTCGCTCCGGCTGGAATCCCTGCTCTTCTCCAGACTGGGAGAAAGGCTGCTGGGTTTGGCTAGACGATTGCTGCTAACCATGGAGGCTCACTTGGCAGGGCCCTGCCTCAAGAGGAGGGTGGCTTGGGGGGCAAGCCTTGCGGGTTTACGTAGGCAGGCAGGAAAAGCACTGGAGATGCCCCAGACCCTGCGGAGGTGCCAGGAGTCCACAGCGGGTTTGATGGTTTGGTTTGTCTAACCGTAGTGCGTAATAAATGGACTGAATGTGTAACGCACGAATCCATAAAACCTAATTAATAAACTGCAGAGTCTGGATTCAGCTTCCATGTTGTGACAAGACCAGATAAGTGTGTAAATCAAGCTAGTGTGATTGTTAAAATAGATTTACCCCAACTCTGAATTCACCCAAGACTGAACTGTCAACGAACCACGTGGGCTGAGTTGCCACAAACCGCCAACTTGAAATGGGATTGGCTAGTTTCTGCTTTGGTGTGCTTGCAGCCAGCCACACTCAAAAGTTGTGTAGCTCCTTTCTCTTGTTACCGGGGGGGGGGGGGGGGG